TGCCCGGGATGCCATCGACGTCTGACTGGAGGACGTCCTCTCGAAATTACATGCAGAAAGATTAAATCGTATGGAGCACTTCCTCCTTCCCGCATTCTGCCGGGCCTTAGACTCCTTTTTCCGCTCGTTCTCCAAATTACCGGCTGGAGAGAATTGCGCGTGCCCACCCCTGCAAACAATCTGGTACACAGAGTCCGACCTCTGATGCGCGAGCGGCTTGTATGGGAGAGGAGCTTGGACGTGCGACTGCGGAGCTACTCGGGGCAGCTCACGAGCCGGCATCGTCTCCTCCTCGGAGTCACTGGAGCTCAGCACCATCTCCAAAATACCATTGCTGGTACCTCGCAACAAGGAACTCCTGCTTCCTCTACCAATGGAAGCCCTCATGCTACGGCTCCTGTTCGCCGATTTACCGGCGAGATAGCCCGCCGCGGCAGCTAAAGTGTCCAGCGATCTCTCGCCTTGACTCGATTCCGCCTGCGGAAAGACAATTCCCCCTTTTGCCGCGATGACCCTCGACTTTTCCGACACTTTGCAGATGCAAAGCGTCGTAAGCCTAAGTGCTGCACTCCGACGTACCGCTTCGTCTCTGGTACGCGTTGGAGCCGCCAGCTGGACTATCGAGCCTGCCTTTCGATTACCCGTTAACAATCGTACCCCTCGCCGATCGCCTACGAACGGCGTTGGAGGTGAGGACAAAGTCGGCGGCAAAGGAATTTCCTTCGCCTTTCTGTCATCGCCCCCACCAAACGACGTCCGGGCTAACTGCGAGGTGCAGGAGGCAACCTAGGCGTCGTAAGAGGCCGCCTGCCCTAAGCCCGAAAGCAGGGCGGCAGACCTCGACGCCTAGTTAACCTCTATAACTTCAGAAGCTTCCAGCGGATCTACCCGTGCTAACGTGACATCTGAAGGTACTTGGTCCCCGACGATATGAGGGATAGGGCCCGAGGCTCCGGACTCAGCCATCGCCACTTTTTGTCGTTGCACTCGTTAAACCTTTTAAAAAAAAGAAAGAAACAAACAAAAATTATCATACCTGAATCGTCCAATAAATCTATTTATTTACCTTTCGTGGAGACATATAACGCTAGACACGGACTTGAGTAGTAGGATGTTTACTGTTTGTTGCTAACTCGTAGATCTCGGGCGAAATAACTGAAATAATTTCAAACGGTCCATCGTATTTCGGATCGAGTTTCGCGTTTTTACCATCCGCTGCGCTGGAAAGCGTATGGACATTGCATCAAACCAAATCACCTACCTGGAAAAGTGTCTGACGCCTACTTTTATCGTAGTGTTTCTTTTGCATTTCCTGGACTTCATCAATATGCCTAGCTACCAAATCGCGTAACGCATTTAAACGTGATAGCCTGCCCTCCTACGGATAAATAAAAACAATTTATTTTCGTATCTATCTTAACAATAGGGGCTTTTACCTCAATCTCGCACTTTAAACACTTTACCGGAAGCGGATCTCTACGAAACCCTACGAATTATATGTCATCTCATAAGTCCTGCAGGAGCTTTCTGCTCAACTTTCATCTATTGACAAATGGTGCAATTACTAACATAACGAGCTACGTCTTTACAGATTTTAGGCCAAAAACACTACGTAATTATACGATAATGAGTCTTGTAATGTTCCAAGTATCCAACTGTGGGCTTATTGTTACACTCTGTGAGAATACGTTCGCGCTGATCTCGAGTTCTTATGCGTCATAATCATTACCAAGCATGTTGTCAACCACTGGATGTGGCCGGTATGTATATAGTTTGCCATCAGAGTATTATTAATTTATTTATAGAAAAGTTTAGTTGTATGTAGTATAAGCTTTATTTATACATATTTGTAAGTACATATGTAGATTCCATTGCCATGATCGAAAAAGTGAATACCTGAAAAAATAGCTTGCATTATGTCGTACAACTTATTATATTTTGTTGTCAGTTGAGACAACAGTGGTCTACCCCGTACTTGTACTTCGTCTACAAAAATTTATCGATCTTTGATACTGAAATGTTGAAATTTGAAAAGATTGAGTGCTTGAATTCTGTTAAATGCTCTATTGACTATTGATCTCTAATCTTGCAGATTGAACGGTGGAGGTTATCTGAAAAATGGAAAATTTATATAAGAACAAACTCTCACGATGCAGAGCAAACCGCCGCTCCGTTTAACACTTATGATAGTACGTGTATTCGCCTTAACGTCAGATGATTTATCTTAGTTGTCTTCTATCAAACGGAGTTGAACTCACCTTAAGTCACGTGTTTTGTGACACTCAATGAGTTTTAAGTGTGAGTGACTTTATTCCTAATCTTCTTAATACCCTAGATGTAATCGGATTAAAACCTGAGTCTTTTTCAATTACTTAAACTACTAGGAAAATTTAATGACGAAAACGGCGAATAAATTTAACTGACTTTAATTAATAAAAATCAATACAGTCTTTGTAGGGCCGAAAGACTAACGCTCGCGAATAAGATTTTACAATTAGTTATATTCGGTGAGAAAGAGAAAGAGAGAAGATTCGAATTATACCGCGAACTAACGTTCGACGCGAATACAAAAAATAACGCTATCACGAATAGACAAAATACCGAATGTATTTTGTATCGCTTATAATGACGGAAGGTGCACCTACCATGCGGTGCAATTACGGTGATCAGCCGTAATTGTTGATGCAAAATATCAACTGCCGCTGCCCCTCGATTAATCAGCTGCGCTGCTACAATCTGCCTTTATATGCTGCAATCTGCTGCTTCTGCACCGCTGCTTGCTGCTGCAATACTGTCGTTCCACAGACGCACGTAATTGTACCAAGGAAACTTTATTTTGGCGAAACTAAGTGCGAAAAACAAACCGGCGGTAAACTCGCGTGAGCAGCTGAGGCGTAGCTGCTCATTCAAAAGATCGCACGCCCCCTCTCTCTCTTAATTGTTAGAACTAACGCGCGAGAAGCAGAATCGCGAACGGATCGATTAATTAAATCGACTACCGTTGCAATTTAAATTATATTCGATATGCCTTATTTCATTGTAGAAACTATCGATTTCAATGTGTATATTATAGTAACAAAAATGAATATTCAAATCCAGTTTTGGATAATAAATAATTTATACAATACGCACCATTAATAGCGATCGATTGTTTAAAACAATATTAATTATTGAAACAATACGATTATAATTTGATCATATATATAGCTAATTTTTCCTTTTGACTAAGCGTAAGGTGTCAGATGATAGTATAAACAAGACCAGATCATTTCGATGAATACGAGGTCTGTCCAGAAAGTATCGCGCCTACGTTTATATCTTCGCGACATAGTGTTCGAGCAACCTCTACCGGACAGAAACGTCAACAGTAAAGCCTCACAAATCTATTGGTTACTTACTGACACCTGCCGGACGTATAGTTCATGCGCAGCGTGTCTTTGTTTACAGTGCCTCTTTCGCGTTCGTCGGAATTTGATATTGTCAAAAATGACTGAAAAACAAGATCAACGAATTTGCATCAAATTTTGCTTTCAACTCGGAAAACCGAGTTCGGAAACTATTGAAATGATGCAAAAGGCCTTCGGAAGCGAGTGTATGAGCAAAACACGAATAAAATAATAGTATAAACGGTTCAAAGATGGTCGCACTTCTGTCGATAGTGATTCTCGTTCCGGCCGACCTTCAACGACAAAAACCGCAGATAATATTGAGCGAGTGCGACTTGCAATCGAACAAGATCGTCGTATGACTGTGCGAGAACTAGAAGAAGACCTTGGGATACCAAAACCTATCATTTCAGAAATTTTAACCGAAAACTTAGGAATGAAACGCGTGTGTGCGAAATTCATCCCAAAATTGCTCACAGCAGAGCAGAAGAACATTCGCTTAGAAATCGTTCTGGACAATCTGGAAATGGTCAATAATGATGATAATGTGCTTAGAAAAGTTATTACAGGTGATGAATCATGGGTTTATTGTTATGATCCTAAAACAAAATAACAATCTTCACAGTGAAAGCATTCTGAATCGCCAAGACCAAAAAAAGCACGTCAAAGTCGGAGCAACGTTAAGTTAATGTTGATTGTTTTTTTCGATTGTGAAGGTGCTGTACATCACGCATATGCACCAACAGGTCAGACAATCAATAAAGAATACTACGTTCAAATTTTGAAACGTTTGCGTGATGCAATAAGAAGAAAACTGCCGCACTTTTGGGAAAGTGGTGATTGGCTTCTCCATCACGATAATGCGCCAGCGCATTCATCCAATCTTGTGCAGCAGTTTTTGAGCAAACACAATATCGCATTGCTTCGACAATCTCTATACAGTCCCGACACAGCCCCTTGTGACTTTTGGCTGATTCCAAAACTAAATAAACCACTCAAAGGACACCGATTCAATGACAAAACAACGGTTGAAAACAATGCGACGAGTGTACTTAATGCTATCCCTAAAAGTGAGTTCCAGGACTGTTTTGAAAAGTGGAAACATCGATGGAACCAAGTTATTCAATCAAGTGACGATTACTTTGAAGGATGCCATCCACCAGATGATAAAGAATAACGCTAGCACGAAAATATAAAGGTAGGCCCGATACTTTCCGGACAGACCTCGTATATGCTAAACTCACTTACGCGCTGATCATTTCTTTCACGTTTGATAATACTTAATAGAAACTGTTTGCTCATATATTAATGTTTTCACGGAACGAAATAAGCAAACATGTCTCCTGACGGTAGCAATGGGATGTAAGTATATGCAAAATTCATGAATTTTGCAATCTATAACATGTAGATTCGTTGCAAAGTAATATTACGATAGGATATAGCAAGAGTTTTTGAAGTTCAACGCTGTACTAGCAATGTACGAGATCAGGGTTAATATATTCTCATAATGTATATCCTACAAATGACAATATTTTATAGATAAAATCGCAAATAATATTGTAATAAAAAATGATAAAATCATATTTTATAAAAATACATTAGGTTTATACTTACTAATTATTCTATAGATTGAACATAGTATAATAGTTGTCAGAATAAAAATAGTATTCCAATTGTGTTTGTTATTCACAGTTGCAACCCCGAGAAACATAAAAATTATTGTTTCTGAACTGCTTGAGAGCATCTTCATCGTATATTTGACTGTTGTATGTGATTTATAAGAAATATTAGCTTCCACATAATTTTTCATTGTTATTCCACAAAATGTGATACTGGAAAATATATAAATTGCATAAATATTAGATATTTGCTTGTAATAGGAAATTGAATCCTGCGACTTATAAAAATACTTTCACTTCAAAATTTTTTTTCATAAATAAAAATAGATGGAGTATGAAGATGATATCAGATTTTTGTTTGAATGCGTAAGAGAGAAAAGGAGACAAAATCCCTAAAGAGGAATAGAAATTTGTTGTATACATCTTTTAGACAGTAGCGTTTATTACAAATGGAGCAATATATAAATTCATATAATTTGTAGTATTAAAACATGTTATAAATATAATTTTGAAGTACCTTTTGTATCAAAATATCGTATGAGTTCTCAGTCTAAATAAGTGCCACAAACTGTGTGTCAATTATGATTCAAGTGTTTTGGTCCAATTCTAACGTTGGATACTGATTCAGAAATTATAAAACACCACAGAAACACTAGTTGTCTCTTATTAAATACTGTATGTCTTACTTTAACCTTGAATTATCTTGAACCTGATCTACTGGAGTTAAATTGACTGGGAATTCAGATTTAATGTACCCTGCCGGTCAGTCACTTTTACCCCCCCTCGAGCAAAATTGCTTGAACTTGGAAGTTTCATATTTTTGGTCAGAATCAACGTACAGAGACTAGCGGAAGCGCATTTGAAAGCTCTTTCCAAGAGCTTTCGAATAATATGCATCGCAAAATTTATGAAATCGGTTTTCTAATTTTTTCAATCGAATATTCATCAATGAAAATTCCGAAATTTTCAGTCTATCTTTGATAACTTGCCAATTCTAGGGAAAAAATCCCACGAAAATTTTGAGCACAGCATTTTCTTCCTTTTTCCAAACCCTATCCAAATCATTCGTCAAAAAATTTTTTCCATCAAATATGACCCTTGTATGAGAAATTTCCTTGAAAATTGACACGTTTTTTCAACTTTTTATAACTTTGTAAATAAAAATTCTAGAATAAAGCGTACATGAAAGAAAATGTTTCTTTTTTCACGTTGAATACTGTAAAATTTTTTCAGATTAAAAAACAAATATTTTTTTTATCCACTTTCTATGGTCGTTCAAAAAAAAAAAGTAAAATATTCATCTGCAACGTGAAATTGTCTTCATGTAAAATAAAAATTGTAGATTTCAAAAAATTGTTGTTCCCATTTTTTTTCCTCACAAGAACACTGTTTTTCAATAACAATAATGATATGTCATGATTCAAATGAAAATACATGCTTAATCTGGAAAGTTATTTATTTAAAATAATAACTTTACATAAGTTTCATTGAGTCTAAAACTTGAAGATTATCTGCTATTTCACTCTGGATTTGTTTCTAGCGTGTTTTTAGTAGAATGTCATAACATAGAAATAGACAACAAAAAATAGATAACAAAAAATAGACAAAAGTAATCAAATGCGATAGGACGATGAACCAAATTTATTGCTAAATATCATTCGAAATAAATAAAATTAAAATAAATAAATGCACCGTCTTATAACAATAACACGAAACAATAGTGACTTTGTAATTAACAAACATAAACTTGCGATAATTAGAACTTGTATCACACAAATTAAACTTTTTTTTCATCAAAGTGCTCTCCTTTATGCTTGATAACAGCTTTGCATATTCTTGGCATCCTTGCGACTAGTTTATCCAATGCTTGGGCAAGATTTTCTCACTGCTCCCATAGTAGTTCGATGGGATTCAAATCAGGCGACTAGACTGGCCATTGCATAACTTTTAATTTTTATTTCTTTTCTAAATTTAAGAGATAATTTTTACATAATTTGGATGTATGTTTTAGATCGTTATTTTGCTGAAACACAAATTGTGCTCCCACTAGTCGAATTCCTGATGTTACAGCATGCCTTTGTAGAATGTTTTTGTAACTTTCTTTCATTAAGATTCCATCAATTTTCACAATATCACCTATTTTTGATGTAGCAAAACAACCCCATACCATAACTAAACCACCACCATGCTTCACACTCGGAACTAAACAATCACTATTATATTTCTCACCAACCCGTCTTCTTATATACACTCTCCTTCTACTTCCAAAAATTTCAAATTTTGACTTGTCAGATCACAGAACATTTTTCCAATCATAAATAGTCCAATTTTTATGACTTTTTGCCTACTGTAAGCGTTTCTTTTTATTTACACATTGAAGAACTGGCTTCTTAACGGCAACTCGATGAAAAAGTCCTTTCTCTTGCAAACATCTCTTTACCGTACCCACACTCACAGGTTTTTCTAAATGTTTGTTGACATCTGCGGTAAGTTCAAAGGCAGTGGCTTTTCGATTACGCAAACTTGTTCGACAAATTTAGTCATCTTCTTTGGCAGTAGTTTTTCTTCTTGGTTTGCGTTGCCTATTTTCGACAATTCCAGATGTACAGAACTTTTTAATATTATAAGCCACTGTGCGCCTGTCTATTTTCAACTGCTTTGAAATAGCGTGACTACTCATTTGCAGTTCATGAAGGGCAATGAATACACACACGTATACTCACTATCGTTTCCTGTACAATATATATATTTTTTGCACCGGCTATAAAAACAGCGATGAAAAATAATTGAAAATCAACGTTCTTGTGAGGAAAAAAAATGGGAACAACAATTTTTTGAAATCTACAATTTTTATTTTACATGAAGACAATTTCACGTTGCAGATGAATATTTTACTTTTTTTTTTAATTGTTGTTCCCATTTTTTTTCCTCACAAGAACACTGTTTTTCAATAACAATAATGATATGTCATGATTCAAATGAAAATACATGCTTAATCTGGAAAGTTATTTATTTAAAATAATAACTTTACATAAGTTTCATTGAGTCTAAAACTTGAAGATTATCTGCTATTTCACTCTGGATTTGTTTCTAGCGTGTTTTTAGTAGAATGTCATAACATAGAAATAGACAACAAAAAATAGATAACAAAAAATAGACAAAAGTAATCAAATGCGATAGGACGATGAACCAAATTTATTGCTAAATATCATTCGAAATAAATAAAATTAAAATAAATAAATGCACCGTCTTATAACAATAACACGAAACAATAGTGACTTTGTAATTAACAAACATAAACTTGCGATAATTAGAACTTGTATCACACAAATTAAACTTTTTTTTCATCAAAGTGCTCTCCTTTATGCTTGATAACAGCTTTGCATATTCTTGGCATCCTTGCGACTAGTTTATCCAATGCTTGGGCAAGATTTTCTCACTGCTCCCATAGTAGTTCGATGGGATTCAAATCAGGCGACTAGACTGGCCATTGCATAACTTTTAATTTTTATTTCTTTTCTAAATTTAAGAGATAATTTTTACATAATTTGGATGTATGTTTTAGATCGTTATTTTGCTGAAACACAAATTGTGCTCCCACTAGTCGAATTCCTGATGTTACAGCATGCCTTTGTAGAATGTTTTTGTAACTTTCTTTCATTAAGATTCCATCAATTTTCACAATATCACCTATTTTTGATGTAGCAAAACAACCCCATACCATAACTAAACCACCACCATGCTTCACACTCGGAACTAAACAATCACTATTATATTTCTCACCAACCCGTCTTCTTATATACATTCGTTGGATTCACCATCTTCTACTTCTCTATGCGAGGGGGAGTGTCTCGCCTTACTCAGTAGAAGGACGCTCCGAAATTTCAGAAGCACGGCACTTAACAATACCTTTCATCGTGCTCCGGATGGGATTAGGGGTGGATTAGCCAGTGAGATTAATTTAATATTGCAGTAATTACTTCGAAAGAGATTTAATACATTTTCCAACATTGTATTTTCAACAAACGTCGCTGGCCTGCAGTCAAAAAATGTTAATTGCTTACCACGTGGCACGTACGGACGCCGCCATCTTGAACCCTTCGCGCAATGATCGCTGTGTATTAATCGACAATTTCTCATGAGATCATCCGTTCGTTATTACGACTCTTCGCCATAATAATAAAGTAAAATATCGAGCTGTTTGCGCAACTACGGACGCAAATGCTGGCCAGCCTACCTATATAATGAAACGGATCACGACGCGTCAACTTGCCAAACAAAAGATACTGAATACTCTCTGAAGGGTGTCAAGAAAGATAAGTTTTGCGGGGTTTAGGTGTGCTTGTTATCACGACTAAGTCGTAGCTCCTAGGGTCATTCCTTTCTTCTTTCTCTCATCACTAAATTTTATAGCATGCTGTCGTACCGGTCACGTCGTCTTACTCAAAGCTAGCTCGAGAATCAAATGAGTCCGTCATGTACTCTCTCTCTCTCTTTTCAGCATGCTCTCACATTTCTTCAATTGCCTGGCCACTTACCTCCCCCTGTACGGAAATGTCATTATTACCGGCTTTAACGCCGAACTAAATTCTAGCTCTCTGTCTGATGCTCGAGCTTTGAGATCTCTCGTTGACTTATATAACCTCTACGTTGTATCCACTGATTCCACACATCATTGTCTCAGCATAAATCCCCCTTCCCATACTACGCTTAACCTATTCATAGTGAAATAATCCAAATGCAATTCAGAGCTTTGGAAAATCCGATACTCCCATTATTACTGGCCACGATTTCATCACGCTCACCCATCCTTTTATCGCGAATAAGCACGTCATCAGATTCATTAGGTCTCGCGGATTAAATCGGGTGGATGAAGCAGCCTTGAATGAGATCCTTAACAGCTATCTCTTGTGTTCGGTCGACAAATCTCCAGTACGATTGGAGCGCTCTTCGGACCCGCCGATGGATGCTGACTTGTTTTCCTTTGACGGATTGGTACACTCTCTTACTGAAGTCTTCATAAAGTCCTTCGATGCGGGCCCCTCTTGGGTACATCAAGTTATCTTCTAGGCATAAACCCTGGGTAACTCCGAGCATTCTCGGACGTTAATGACGTCTCAAATGCCCTCGACTCAGCAAAATACTCCTGTATCTCAAGCAGGCTGTCCTCCGCAAGAAATAGTAAGGCCAGATGGAGCGATTTACGAAACTTG